GGGGGGGGGGGGGGGGGGGGGTTGCACATACGAGCGGCAGAGCGCGGGAGCGGCCCTTCATTCTTTGATAATGTTCCCGTGGACAGAGTTTGGGTCCCCTGTGGTAACCCACGATCTCAGGGGCACGGAGTGTTTGCCCCCAGGCGAACGATGATCATTCCTTCTAGATCAGCGGTGCTACTTCCCCTGGGTTCCGGTTGCTTGCGCACGCATGTCAACACAAGGCAAAACCGAGCGATCGCCTAATGGTTCGACAACCGCCTCCGTATGGGACCACAGCACAGAATGGTTGCACATTAATGGGGAGGCAACACTGACCAACAAGGAGATAATGGCTATTATGAGAGCCAATGCACAACCAGGCGGGATAATAATATGTGAGGCGGGCTAGGTCTGAGGTTTGGCAGGGGTGTCTCACCTCTAGCCCCTCGCCGCCTTCGATGGTGAGGCGAACAGGATCAAACTCCGGGAGACCCATCGGAAACGCTGCGCGATGTGTTGTTTGCCGTCGTGTCGGAGAGGGCAGAGGATTGGAGGTGGGAGGGAGCTGTTTTGAATGACCTCGTGCAGGTGCCTGGCGCAACTCAGCAACACTGCTGTCTGCATTTGAAACAGGATTTGCATGCAAGCTTGTGGCAGGGATATTCTAAACCAGCCACGTTTCTGATTTGATCCGCTTCATGTCGGGAATCTTAGCTGGAAAGCGAAAACCGGAATTCGATAAACTAAAAAAATCAGCACTTCACCGCGCGTGGCTCTCTCTATCTCGACATCAAATGTACAAGATAGACTAATACGTCAAAACCACGGCATCCGTATCACACTCGCAACACACCCGCGTATTGCAGCTGTCAGCAACCTTGCTTACCCATAGTGACAGCTCCGCGAATATTGTCCATCTTTTCGTCGAGCGCCTCCTGCGTCACGGCTACCCGACGCTGCGCCTGCTCCTTCCCCAGCAAGGCCTCCGCATCGACACAGACGCGCTCCAAGCTCTCGCACAGATGAGGTCCCACTCCGTTTCCGGTCCGCTTGCCTGATAGACATGTGATGTGGCACCATCGTTGCGAGAGACAGCGAAACAGGTGGGCACACGCTCTGGAAAGCCGCCACGAAAAAAGATTGGCGAGGGGGGGAGTTTCCTGCGGTTGCCGGGTAGCTGTGGGGTCCCCACACATGTATGCATAGGAATGAGCTTATGAGCCAGAAAAGTTAGGAATCCTCCCTCTCCAACCCTTAGTAGTGGCAAACCTGTTCCGCGTGTTTTCAACACCTTCTCGGTATCGCAACGGTATCAGCGACGCGAATCGTGATGGGGGAAAAGGCGAGCAGCAATGCCTGTCGAAGTTGCCTGGAAAATACCGTAGAGAGAACAGCTCGATTCGTGACGATATAGGTAGCAAAGGACGGTCTTCCGATTCGTCGTGTGTCAAGATATGTCGGCCCTCTACACACATTCACAAGGACCATGTCAGTCTGTAAACATGACGGGCGGTCGCTGCGATACCAGTCGGGTCAACGCACGACTACTATGAATACTTTCACTGCCTGGGGTTTATGCCTGGATCAGCACACTTGCCTGTTGGGTCTGGTTGGTAGTACGGCCCTTTATCGATGGACGCCCCTTCGTATTCCTCTTTCACCTGGCAACATGTCCATATCAACACCACGACTTGGTTGACGTTGAAACTCAACGCGGGGCCTCTCGCGCCAGAGCTGTCGTGCACGACCTTTCAGACGGGGAAGTCTTGCTATGCCGAACGCAATGAGCCAAATCATGCGAGAACATCGATGCGACCACACGGCGTAACATGCAGTTGGGTCTACCGGACTTGAACTGATGTGGTTGGGTGCATCGGAGGGTGTGAAGAGTGCCTTGACACCCTCCCTGCACGATAGAGGGTCACACCTCACCTCGTCAAGACCATGTTCTGCTGGTGGCTTCGAGGCCCCGTACTTGCCCATGTCTCGAGCAGATTCCACGAGCTGCATCAGGCGTAGACGTGTATTCCATATCTTAACCTGCAGCGTTGGCCAAAATGGAGAAGAAGGTAGTTTGACGTACTATTCGTTCAAGTCGTTGCGGGGGTATGCGCTACAGCAGACGGGGTCCCTCTGTATGGCAGGTATGTGCCAGGCTGATTCACCCGCACTTTTGTAGCGGACCCCTGCCCTATCGGAAATACAAAACGTCTTTAGTACTGTACAATACGGCTTGATTACTGTTTGGTATCAAGCGTGTTGACCCGTCCTACATCTGCCACCCGCCCCATAGGCCTAAACGGGAGAACCCGACTGCTGTGTTGAGCTTACATGGGCGGGGCTGTCAACGCCAAGCTCTCTGCACTTTACGTCTCTTTCGGAGGGACCCTGCTGCTGTACCCTTTTTCGGACCTTGTCATTGTTTCTGCATCTACATACATTTCAGGAACTCAGCTGCTACAGCAGTCTTGAATAATACGTCCGCTACGGACGAAGATCGGCCCGCTGTCTGTGTTCGCCGTGTAGGTATGAAAGAGAGGGCTGATATTGTTTTTACCTACTGTTGTACTGTAGCAGCAGTCGAAGCGAAGGAGACCGACAACCATCGCTTCGTGGGTGGCGTCTACGGTGCTCCTGTGTAGCGGTACTGAGTATCGCAAGCTGCCAAAGTACATTGTATACGCTGTAAACGTGAGAGCGACTTCGCTCTCGGATATGCCCTGATGAAGGCCGTAAGCTGCGTGAGAGTCATCTACCATTAGCGACATGGTACAGCAGCACAGCAGTAGATCTACGCGTGTTCTTGTCTACTACTTAGTCTATGTTGCCGCAATCCCTTCCTCAATGCCTACTTGTAGCTAGTCTGCAGGCATTTGTCAGAGGATGCCACGTCTCTGGATACATGGCCTCAACAGATGATACAATAATACCAACTAGTTGCTCGTGGTCTTTTATCTGTTGCTAAATATATGGAACACATGGTTGGCTGTCTCTGTGTCTTTGTGTCTCTGTGGCAACCCCAACCGGCGAGAGACGTCTGGTCTCCCAACACAGCAGTCCCAAGCGTAACGGATAGCGGATCGCTTCGGAGATCTTCCAGGGCGAGAAAATCTATTTCTGCTTGAAATCAACCTTCCTGACAGATACGAAAATACTCAACGAGTGCGCTATCCAAAGATCCATAACAGCATCCCACCGGAAGCCTGTTCCCACGGAAAGCTGGGAGCGGTCGACAACAACCACCCTAGCTTGGGACAGGTGTGAAGACCGAAACGGGTGCGGTCTCTCTTTGTCGGAGATCCTTCCTTTGAACTTCGGTTGCATTGTACGACGACTCACCAGCCTTCGAACGAGAGCATCGTTGGACTCTGTGATGGTGGATTCCACCAGAAAAACGTCTGTATCGGATCGCTTCACTTGAACTACCACCATGATGGCTCTAAGTGGCGACGTATTCGTGTGCTGGTCGAAGGAGTGCTCGGCAGTAGGGTCAAATCTGCATCACCTCTCCGTGGAGGCTCCGCGAATACCAGGATACTTCGAACTAGGTATGTAGCAAACGTCAAATCCCATGCGATGGGCCTCTTCGCCGCACCACACACGCGTTGCACTACCCGGGGAGGAGCTGAGGGGCTGAGGAGTGCCCTCGGGGTGTCAATATTTTGTGGTATGGTGAATGAAGGAGGTGCTGATGTCTGCGAGAATTTTGAGGGGTCAGAGGTCCTCCTCGCCCTCCGCACGCTGGTGAAAGAGCTACGCTCGATCGAGGTTCCTTCGCTCAAGGTACGCTAGACTTGACAGCATGCGAGAGAGCGGCGGTTGCTTGGAAGAGTAAGGATACGGTGGGTGGGCGCCCGGCGACTGCTGTGTGCCTTACTGTTCGAAGAAGAACACTTGAGACGTACTGTAGACTGGTCAGGCTAATTGAGCAAGGCGTCACTCTGATAACCTTGCAACATGCACAACAACGGCGGTTGGTTGTCCCCTTGTTCCTGTGGGCGAGTTCGCCGATCCTCCGCAAGCCAAAGCTTTGCGCACAACGAACGCCAGCTGGGGCTGTGATAATTCATTTGTAGTCGCGCAGAACGTTCGAAAGCTACATAAGCATGTGCCCCAACCACGATGAGGTGGGGAGTGTTTTCCTCATGATATGCACCTCTACTGCAGGTGAAGTAAACGGCTCCTGCCTGACGGTCTTCACACAAGGCAGTATGACAGCCTTGTATCTACACGACGGCACTCATGCCTTCCGGTCTCATCCAGCAGTATGGTTTGACAACTTCTCTTATGTACCCGATTTGCTGTAGATACCCAGTGATGATTTGGGCGAGTTGAACTAGGATGCGAAAAATTTCGAAAGCTCTGTGACTGAGCAGCAGCCAGTACTGCAGCCATCACGACCTCTTAGGGTGTGTCTTTTTGGGCATGTTCAGAGGGTCGGGAATCGGGAGCAGCGGGAGGCTTTGTCTTCGTGCCTTGTTGGCTGAACGTTCGTGTTGGCATGCCTTAGCATTGTATGCAGGACATGTGTGTCTTCTTCCGTCTCTTTCGGTAGGCTTGCATTTGTCCCGATTCAGAACGCGGCTGCTATGCACTTTTCTCGGCAGAAGTGCCATCGGTGTGGACGCTGGTTCTGTAGACTAGACTACATATTCCATCACCAACCGAACACGCGCAAAGCTGTCGGCTTCGCTGCTGCACTGAAGAACAAAGGGGTTGTGCTTCCCGTTGTTTTCGTAATAAAAAAGAGCAGTACCAGCGAGGTCCTACACTACTGCTGTACCACCCTTGCCTTGGCGACGCCACCCCCGACCAGTATGTAAGGTAGATCTCGTATACACACGCCGAGAATCACCGCTGTAGAATTTCGGGAGGATCAACCGCCACCGGTACCTCGCAGCTCAGCTCGCCTCGTTCGGCCGTCCTCTTTTGCTGATGTTGTTCCCAATGTGGTGGAGATGGACCTTGAAACAGGCTCACATCTCCCCGAACAACGTCTGTCGAGGACCTTATCCTGTTCTTTTAAGATAGATCGCTTACAATAGTCTAATTTGCTTGGTTGCCCCCCCTTTTTCTGTGCGCCCCTTCTCTCCCCGCTCTAACGTACGTTCCACGGACGACACGAAAAAAGGAGTTCGCCCTGGCATTCCAGGCGGCGTTTGAGACCTCCTGGCACTCGCTGTCAGCCTGGTTCTCGGTCCTAACGCTCTTCCTCTCGCCCGTGCTCCAGTCCGTGGCGGTGCTCGCGTGGGCCGTATGGCCCCACGCCCAGACCGCAGCCGTCACCCTCTGGAAGTACCAGGCTTCTCTGCCGGCCTCCACGCTGTGCGCCGAGGCAGCCGCCGTCGTACTATTCGTCGCGCTCATCCTCCTGCGGCGCTTCATCGTGCGGCAGCGGTACATACCCCGCGCCCGTCGCCGGGTGCGCAACTTCCGCGCCAGGATCAACACCGTCTACGTGTCCTTCACGGCGTCGGTCGAGCGGAACCTGCGGCTCTCCGCGCGCGCGTTCCCCCACGTGGTCTACTGGACGGCCGCGGCCTCCTTCGCGTGGCTGGCCCCCGGCCTGACCGGAAGCCTCCGGGACAAGTTCTGGGTGTTTGCGACGGCCACTTGGCCGACCCTCTACGCCGTCTACCTGGTACTCCTGGTCAGGAGCCAGAACGCGGTTAACGACGAGGATAGCGCCGGCGGCAGCTCTGTTAACGGGACTCCAGGTGGCGCTGGCACAAGGGGGACGGCGGCAAAAGCACCACTTTTGTATGCGCCGGGAGCGAGGACACCACGGGAGGGCACGCCCAGGGCGGGCACCGGGGCGGGCACGCCGGCTAGGTCGGGGATGGCGCGCGGCTCTGGCGTGATGCCGCAAGACGTGGACCGGGTGTTGATGTACTGGGTTGTGTTCACGGTGGCGAGGTGCTGGGGTTTGCTGGCGGCGTACGTGCCGGAGACATTCTTCACGCCGTACGTGCGTACCGTCACGTTTTTCTTGGCGCTGTGGATGCACCTTCCGGGGCCTGGTAGCGGGGTGCAGGTAAGGTTTCGTCGTGTGTGTAAAACACCGCGAGTGTGAGAGGCGGTTAGAGGGGGCTGTTGCTTTCCGTTTGCCCTAGCTGCTTGGTCTCTAATCCGTTCGTGATATACTCCGTTTGCGCGGAGAGGTGCGGGGAGTGGGGAAAAATTGACCCTACAATATTGTGTTCCTGTGGATTTCTTTCACGCACTACGCAAAGGTTCGTAGCGGAAGATTTTCCCTCCCCGCCATGTCAAGACTTTCTGGTGCGTAAGTTTGACGGTTCTTTACCAAGCGCCTTATCGGTGTGTTTGGCACGACCCGATCGGGACGTTGAGCCCGCAAGAATTGGAGCGCGTGTCGCGGCCGGCGTTGGCCGTGTGGTGCTGTAGTCGTTGCGTTGCTCTTTGTGGACGTTATCTCTTTCCTAAAGTGAAACTCGCCTATCGTACTGCTGTGTGCAGGTTGTGTACGCCTGGCTGGAGCCGCTTGTTCACACGTATGTGAAGGACCTACGCATGCCCCAGAATGGCTACACCGGGACGCTGAAGAGAGTTCAAGAACTACTGGTGTTCGTTCGGCTGCTGACAGAGGAGAAGGCGGAGGTGAGACCCTGCAAGTGGTGGTCGCATGCAGAAGGGACCTTGGTAGGCCATATACCTTCGGCCGTTAGCATGTACATTTGAGAGGATCTTCCTTCCTACAGCATACGGCAGTGTTGTTGCTTCTTGTGCTTTGATATGAGGTCTGGAGAGGAAATGTCACGCAGCTGCAATGTCGCGCAAATCTGTACCTCACCTGTTTGGTCACGTGAAACCCGTGCTTTTTCTTCCGGATTCGTCCGGATTCGTCACAGTCGTGTTGGACATGCCCACTACACCTGTTTTCCGCCGCAAACTTTTCCCGAAATATTGGAAGGGTTTTGTTGGTCGTCTTGTGTTTGCGCCCCCCTGCTCTCCCCTGCTCTCCCCTGTTCACGTGGTGTGTCCCCTGATCGTCCGCCCAACCGTCCCCGTCGTTTTTTGTAGTTGCTTGTCGACAACATCACTGACAGCTGGATGCTGGTGCCGGCGCTGGCCTTCTTCTTGACTCCGTCCTTCATGACCGAGCTCGCCTGCCTGTACACTGGACTGGTGATCCCCTCGTTCAACTCCATCAAGGTGATGCTACCGCCCCCTTTGGGGGGCAGCAGGGTCTGAAGGTTTTGAGGGTATACGTTTCAATCAGAGCCTAGCCGTGCAAATTGGCTCAATCTGCTGGAACGGGAGATAGACGCGTCTTGCCGGATGCCCACCTGCTGTACAGCGGGTGGATTATACGGCTGTACTCCATTGACTTCTTACCACGCCGCTCGCGGCTTCGCACAACAACAGTAGCCCGTTTAGGTCTTGACCCGAATGTAGCCTGCCTTCCCACCATGTCGGCGGCAGGGCCCCTTCAGAGGCGGTGATAATTTGTCGTCACCGCTTATGGCCTAGCCTGCCGGTCGTTTTCCGAGAATCCCACCCATATGTGGGGGCTGGCGAATTTCCATACATTGTTGTTCTATCTCACATTAGCTCTATAGTCCACAAAAAATGGGGAGCCCGTGGTCTCAACCCGGCACATGCGACGCCGCGAGGAAACAAAACAAAATAGGGTACAAACCACTCGGACAAAGAAAACAAAATGATACAAAGAAAAGAACAGGTATCGCACCGACCGTTCGAGAAAAAGAGCCCTCGGAAACCGATCAAAATACAACAAAAACAAAAATAAAGGAGGACGCTTCCCACACCCGCCCAAAGAAAAAATCAAAGGGTAACGTACCAGCACCAGGCACTACGCACCAGGGCATGGGAGTAACGGAGCAAACAGGACAAAGAGGCGGCAGATGGGCAGACAGCTAGACTTACAAAAACAAAGGCAACAGTAAAGCGATATCACGGTGCCTAACACAGCAGAGTAGGCAGGGAGGTCATGAAAAAAAGAAACACAGCACAGAGGCCGAAGGCAATACAAAGGACATACATGTGTAGGTTTGTTTCGCCTAGTTTCTTCGCCAGCACCTCTTGTGTTGTTGTTGTTGCTGCCATTGCATAAAAAACCGTCCCGGTATCTGCTCAGTACCTTGTAACATCTGTACCAATCCAAGCAACACGGGTGCTGGAGGTTTTTCTGTGCTGTGTTGGTTTAGAAACCACTTGTCCTTTCGCCAGACCTACAATACTTCGTGCACAATTGGTTCAATAAATTTCATGCTACTCAGGCGCGGTGGAGTGCATGTTACGTCACTTTTCTTCCCCCGTCGTCCCCCTCTCCTTGCGCCGATCGCTGCACTCTCCAAGACCCTTGGTCGCAGATCGAATAACTCGGCTGTCTCCACCGCTTGGGCGGCGCTGGCAACCTCTGCCAATATTGCCCGGGTCCGGTGGCTCACGTACTGGGTCGCCTACGGGAGCTGGTGGCACTTGTCTTTGTGTGTGGGCGGGATTCTAAGAGTATTGCCCCTCGCCGCACACGCCGAGCTGGCGTTGTTGCTGTGGCTGCAGGTGCCGCTATTCCGAGGGGGGGATCGCATATTGGATTTCGGGGAAAGGTGCATGGATCGATGGACTTTCGGTTCTGATGTTGCATCCACCCCCGTGCGGCCGCCGCCGCCGCCGCAGCAGCAGCAGCAGCAGCAGCAGCAAGAGGTGAACCGATAGTAGTCTGGTCACGCGTACATTACGTGTTTTGGTGCAATGTTGTGGTGAGCTTCGTTTCAAGAGACGCAAGCTACTCGTACGCTCGAAAGTTTTTTATCAAGCTGTAGACGGTGCATGGGTATCAGTGCGACTTAGGTCCCGTGTGTTTTTTTTGTTTGGCTTTCGGCCATTTTTGCAGGTGTGTTGTACAAACTGTGAACCCTGTGTGTGTGCGAACTATGAACGTTTTTGGTTTCGTTAATCGTGATGTAGTTTGTGTAGAGAGAAGGCTTCAGGAGGGGATAATAAGAAGAGGAGAAAAGGAGGTTGAAGGGATGGCCATGCCCTACTAACACGGGTTGAAAAATGATGCGGTGATTGCTGGCTTGAATGCTGCAGGCCATGAGGAAACGTGTGTGGTCGTAAGAGTACAAACACGCGTATGATTTGGTCTGTAGCTTGGCGCCATGGACAGTTGTTGTCTGGGTCTGGGAAGCGCAACTATCCCCTTCTTTCAGTACGTGATGGTTTTTAAGCAACGAAAACGGAGTGAAAATGACCGATTAAAAGTCTTGCTGGGGAGGAGAGCACTTTTCTAGATCTGCATCCATTCTTAGATAACTCGAGCGGTCTTTGGGCACTCCTTCAGTCAGCCCAATACCCCAAACTCGCGCCACACCATGTCGCGCCCGGTCCCCCCCCCCGCGTACAACCCAAACGTAATGTGTCAACACGTTGTATCGCCAGCAGCAGCAGCAACCGGCACACACTGCTGCTGTTGCGCGGCTGAAGCGCGACCTTATGAGCTGCTTGCTGAAGAATCAGCAACAGCCTGGAGTAACGCATTGATTATTGTCGGCGGCGCTCCAATAGAACACACGGAAGAGGTGCATGCCAATTCACTTCTTGATAGAAAGTGCTCTGCCTTTGTGGTGAGGACGTTACCTTCGGTCCGGCTGATACTTACATACATTCTCGCATCATCGTGTCTATCTTGCCGCCGCCCCCCACCACAAAGCTATCAACACCCCCGATCAAAACATGAACCTTGCGATGACCCACAAAACGTCACGTCATCAGCCGGCACGCAAGCAGTACACTGGCCTCCACAAGCTTGTCCCTATCAACAATCCCAGACCATCCAGCAAGTAGCGTAGAACCGCCGTGCCTGCACACGTGCTTATGTACATTTCACACCCCGTGCGAGGAAAACGTTTTAGAAGAATTAACATCTCCTGCTTCACGACCCGCAACACCAAAAAGCAAACCGTTTCCGTCAGAACAGTTTTTTCTCCCACTGCACGAGCCACCGAGCTAGTCCATAGTACAGGTAGGCGTGGCGAGCCACGTACAGCGTGAATACCAGCAAAGCCGACCCGAAAGCTTCCAAGGGAGATCCGTCGGTCTCCAGCTCCCTGCCATGACGTCGCGGCATGACGTCATGATATGGTCGTCATTCGTTCGAGGGTCGAAGGAGATCAAGATGGCGCGTGACAAAGGCGTGGATTATTTGCGTTTGAGGTGTTAAGTTAAGCATACATGAAGTATGTTTTATTAGCACGACCGACAGCCAGTGGGAATAGCGATCCGCATGAAACACACGGGAAAGAAGACAAGCGTCAGGGCGTCGCGTGTACGATATATAGTGTTGCTTGAGTGACCATCGAGATCTCGAAGAGCGTCCACACCAACGCTACCCAGTAAGAGTCTAGAGGGTGCATTCCAACGCCATGAAGCTCCCAGAGAAAGGAAAAAGAAGGATCGTCATGCCTGCGGTGGCAGGGCAGCCCAAGGCTTACGTCGTGTTTATTACGAACCTCGCCAGAGCCTCCACGGTGTCGGTCCAATCCCACGCTCCTACGGCAACGTAGGCCAGCGCCGCTACACCCAACGGACCCCAACGAGCCATGCCGTCGGCGTTCGTCTCGTCGCCGAGCATCCCGACTTGGCCTTGCGCTTGTTCCAGCCTTCCTGCTGCTGCATCTAGCGACGATAATGCGCAAGAGACCACAACGGTGATCTTAAGAAGATCAGAGGGTCAGAGTGCGGACTTGCTGCTGTCGGTCAGACACGTCGAGCGAGAGCGGGGTACTGCAGAGTTTTTGTAGTACACAGCGGCGCACCACTGCTGTTGCCATATCAGTTCAACAAGAAACTAAGGCGCCATCAAGTTTCGGCGGAGACGAAGAGCGATGCTTCGGTTGTACAGACCAATGGTCGGGCGCTGGAAGGACATACAGAAGCTGCCATATCACTGTCGCTGGATTCTTTACGTAGAATGGATTGAGGGGAGATGTTGTCGTGCTAGGCAGTAGAGCAAGAGAAAACCACCAGCTTCCGCAGCATCCGCACCTACCCGCTGAAGCCATGCGTGGCGGTACTGGTGAAGTTGCGGCGTTTGCTTTCTGCCTCGCTTTTGTTGGCACTACCCACGCGGTCCTCCAGCCAGCGATATCCTGGGTAGCGTCCAACTGCTTGCACAGCTGAAAGGTCAAATCCTGTCCAACAAAACACACAGACCTAAAATGAAACACAAGCAGCATGTAGAAGTAAAAACGTCGACCCAGGGAATCAAACAAGATAGACATCAGCAATAGGTACGTTAGCAGAAACTTATTCGACCCCAAATATTGACGAGAACTGATTCTCAAGAGTACGGTCAACGCCGCCTACAAGAACACATGGACGAAGCCAAGACAACTCTTAACATTCTGATTGCAGCTATTCGCTACTCCGGTCGCTCATCACAAGGCCTCGTGGACCTCGTTGAAGGAACCCCGTGCAATATTGAGCACAGAGCTCAAATACATGACGGAACAAAATGCACGAGAAGCTCCAGACTTGCATTTTTCGTGAAACAGCAGTATCACCGTCGAACAAAAATAGTTTGTGCTGCATGAAAATCTCGGTGCCCAGTGTCATACATTCAACAGGATCCCCAAGTACGTACCGTTACCGATCTCGTCTCACCTGCATATGCAACCCGCCATACAGGACCATGATTTTACGGCACCCCTCTACAAGGGCACGCTCCGTCTCCTCCACGACCACCTGATTCCTTGCTTTCACCACGATCGCGTTCGATTGGCCCCAGTTACCCCCGCCAGCTTGACTGTCATCAAGGTGTGTCATGTTTCCATGTTTGTCGCAGGGGGAGACTAGGCCAGAGAAAGGAGCATGCTTTCGTCACAGGCTGATGGCCTAAACAAAGTGTAGTATCGTGTCAAGTCGGCTTCATTGCGATCCTTCCTAATGCTAATCTTGGCCCTAACGTGACGTCCGGCGCGGCGAGCTGTTAGGCACTTGCGTGGCAAGATGCAAACACATGTAGAAGTATGCTAAATGGGCAGAAGAAAGGAAGAATGGAAGAAAACTGTGACTGACGTATACAGGCAATTGTCGCCCGCTGAGCACACGAGGGCAAGAACTGACTGCCCTACTTTGACCAGCACGGCGTCCCCCCCCCCCCCCCCCCCCCCCCCCCCCCCCCCCCCCCCCCCCCCCCCCCCCCCCCCCCCCCCCCCCCCCCCCCCCCCCCCCCCCCCCCCNCCCCCCCCTCCCGCCTTACCCGGACACGATCTGCTGAGCGAAACCGAGCTTCTTGGCCGTGAAAAAGTCTCCCGAGAGCACGCTCTCCGCGATCGCAGATGCAAGCACAGATAGACCGCCGGCCCTGATGGAAGCCAACACCCCGCCGCGTCAACGGACAGGTGCGCAAAGCGAAAGAGGTGTGTTATTGGCGACGGTCGGGAAACCGGAGGGCTGCATTTTGATCGAGCTCGCCATCAGCCACTCGTGATTTGTAATCGGTAGCAACAGCAACTGGCACTACCGGCGACTGCCGTACCGTCTCGAAAAATTTCATGCAGGAGTTGCAAGAAAATTAACAGCAAGCAAGCACGAGTGTTGCTTGAGGCTTAGAGGATCAAGGCACCTTGGATAAGAACGAGCCCAGTCGTAGCACATGATCTCCGCCTCAGGGCAGGGCGTCAGCCACAACAGCGCTCGCAGCACGAGCGCCGGCCTGTTGAGCGTGCTGCCCAAGGGTGGATAGAATTTGGGGAGGATCTTGTCTCCGGCCTGCCTTCCGACCACCAACGCCCTCGTAACCTGTCAGTTGAGGGGCATCGCCTTGGTTGATGGCGATCAGAAGAAGCATGCGAAAACTTGCACTGGCAGGTGAAGGCATTGAAATGAAAGCTTGTGATTGCCAAAAGTTGTTTTGTTCTGTGCTTTGTTCTTCTAAGGATCACTGCTGTATTTTCCTGCAGTAATCTCTTGGTCCCAAACGTCGTCTTAGTCGTGAACATAGGACATCTAGAACGGCGTGTTCTGCATTCTCTGAATGGCAGTCACCTCGTCTATGAAGCCTTGCCACCCCCCCTGGCCAATCTCCTTCTCCCCTGCCTGTTGCTGCAAGGATCGGATCTCGTCCCTCGTCAGGTCTGCGAGGACCCAACGGGGGCCGCCGTTGCTGTTCCTTCTGCTACTGCTTCTGCTGCTGCTGCTGCTGCTGCTGCTGCTGCTGCTTGTTCCATCGTCCGTGCGCTCCTTGCAAAGGTGGCAGTAGTTGAGACAGTTCAACTGCGCCGATAAGCCGTAGTTCCTTGCCAGATCGTCCTGTGCGAGGACATACAGGTCGGGTGGTGTTCGCCAGAACTGTCTTTTTTCCACAAGGGCATCCAAACCAAGTGTTGATAGAGCGAAGACCCGCTTCGTGCCATTTACCCTCTGGGGGTGGGTGCGATATTCAGCACAAAGTAGGCACAAAAAACACATCGGGAACACCACCTCAGGGTGTGATCCGAACGAAGGATTCAAGCGCTCGGATGAGGGGGCATGTGGTCAACGTCCTGTGGCTTGCTTTTCCAGTCGAAAGTCCTGTCGCCTCTGCAAGGCGGATGCTTCCTCCAGAACCTCGGTACAAGCTCGGTACAAGCATATAGCAGAGTGAGCACTGGCCTCGTATCGTCGCCCGGATCCAGTAAGGGGGTCGTGTCAACGTGGGAACGTTCTCCACGCAACAGTCGTGCGACTGCAGCAAATTTGCGCCACCAGATACCGGGTTCTCCAACAGGACACAACTGTACGTGTGCAAAGGGTAAGCCTAAATCATTTGTCCATTGTTGACATGTAGACAATCAATCGAAACGGCCGTAGGTTACGGCTCTCGCCGGGACTTGTAGAGACAGCGGTCTTCTGTGAACGCGGTTGATTTCTGCTGCTGCTTTATGCGTTCGCTTCGTTTCACCTGTTCCCTCGTCGGGTAGACGTACTCCGTTACAGCTCTATTGCCGTCAGCATCCAGTTCGGATACACCCGGCCCAGCAATCAGCTCGAACAGCACGCGATCGTACGAAGATGCGTCTCTCATAATCTCAGTGTAGTAGGCCTGGTCCGCGAGATGCACCATCGACACCAGAACGATGTCAACACCATCTTCCGAAGTTCGTGGGCGGAGCTTGTACGCCGCCGTCTGAAGCTCTACAGCGTCGCGATACTGAACTAATCGGAACGCATTGTCGTCCTTCGGTAGAGCTCCATTTCCGTCTGCAGCAACAGGAATGGCAGTACGCGATGCCCGCAGTGTTCGATGCTTGCGAGAGCTCAAATTCAAACACGGCTGTAGGCCTGACGCTCCTTGAAGCGCGACGAACACCGCAGACACCCCTAAAACCACCCCCACAGAAAGACATTTACACCGTGAATATTCGTCAAGTAGGGAGCGAGCCATGGCCCACGAGGGGAATGCTCCTCCTCGCTGTGTGTTGTGCTGCAAGAGCACACCCCGGTGGTGTGACCCAGCAATCAGGTACACGGCGGTGCCAATTTTGGAAACGCGGCGAGATTGCTACAAGCACCCCCCTACCTCAATTGATACCTTCCGCGGTGCCGCCAATGTTCCCCCAGATCACACCAACACGCTCCCCGGGCGAGACGAGCGAGAACAAGAGGAAGGGAAGTGCCTCACCGATAAGGAGAATTTCGATTGATTCCGTGTGTTCATGTGCCCATGGTGACGGCAATGGTTGCTCTACGAGGAGGGGCTGGAGTTTTCCAACGAGGCCTTCGGCAGCAAAGCCGACCGAGAGGTTCTGCTCGCCTCTCACAGCAGACCAAGGCGCCTCGAGCATGCAACACCGCGTGTACCGCCTTCTCCGTGGCTGGCTTCGGCAGGTGAGAGCGGAAAACACGGTATGCTTTTACTGTTGGTCTCTGCTTACAATACGATGCGATTCAGCCGACTTTGCAGGTGTGGCAGTGGCATGCAGCAAGCAACACCCATGAGCTTTGAAAAGCGGCGTCATGTTCCCGTTATTTCTAACGCTGTACCGCACCGTCAGAGCAATCAGTGGTCGGACACGACATGGGGATGCGTATTGAATTGCCTCCCACCTGGGGTGAAGGTGTCAACACGTTGGGACTCCTTTCTACTGGACTCCTTGCCCTTGTTTCTTCTACACAGGAACCTGCCTCTAGTCCAGTAACCCCTTCTTGATCGTTTGTCCTCCCTCGACTATACCATCTCCGCCGAAAACAGCCGGAGCTCGCCCACAGCTGGGCGCTGGGGCGCTTGTGTTTCTGTTCACAGAAACGAGGATTTGCGGCCATTGGTTTCGCCGGCGGCACCAGTAGCGGTGGCGTTGCGTAGCGTGCAGCACTTGTCTAGCAGCGGGAGAGGAGGAAGAGAAGAAAGGGGCGGCGCAGACAAGCGGCCAAGAAACAACACCTACAACAACTCCCGGGAGGGCAAGGAGAAGGAGAAGGAGGAATACACTTTCCTCGAGAAAGATGAACTTGGCAGACTGTCGAACGAGTCCAAGGTGCGTGTACGTGACGGGTGGGAAGCTCTGTAAGTTTCTACTGCTGTTGCAGTTTCAAGACCAACAAGGAGCAGTGGTCGCGCAGCGCGGTCTCTTCGCGTTGTACTATGAACTGTACTTTTGTATTGTGAGCTTGGCTACACCTGGGTCACGGGAAGAAGACGATCACTTGCTGCGGGCAATGACATTGATTCGCCACCATCCAATCGACATGCGCCTTTGAGAGTACGCACAGGCAAAACAGTAATATCCAATCCCTGCAGACGCGATACGTTTCTAGAAGCAGACGTAGGCTGCTGCGTGGTGTTGCTGACTTTTATTATAGTCAACGCCCACCCGTTCTGCTGTGCTGCCGCGTTTACTGGGTAGGGCGGTCTCAAGACGGACACGACGGCAGCTAGGGGGGAAGAGGAAGAAGTAGACGCAACGAACGTGACTCTGTGAGTATGCAGTGAAGCATTATCGACATTGCGGGCATCACATGCCACTTTTAGCATGTCTCTTGTCGTGCGGCAGTACCCGGGCGGGTACGGCCCTCGAGGCTGCTTTTCGGAACGTTGTCTGTCGTAGTCCCCATTCGTGATTCCCACCACTGCTGTCTGTGCGCGAATACATGTTCGGACTTCAAGCACGTCCCCCTTCTTCCCTCAGTTGGGAATATTCCGCGCGGGAATTGGGTCGTCGGTAGCGCACACGGGGGAGGATGGTCGTTATCGACAGCGACCGTCATTCGTTCCGTACGTAACACGTCAAGCAATAGCGGCATCAGCGTGTGATGTCAATTTGATTAGCTTCGGGGTTTCGCCTGATGCTGATACAACTGCTCATTTTTACTGAACCGAAGCCCACCGTATATCTGTTATTCTGCGTCTGATTCCTGCAACGCAATATTCTAAACAGGTGGCAGCGCTGGAAGCAGGCGAGGGCCAAGATGAAGTTGCTGTGGAAACAATACGGCCTTGTTTGGATCGGGACCTACACCGTCCTGTACTTCGGCGGGCTAGCAGGGATCTACGTTGTTATGGACACGGGCTTGATGGCATCTGATGTGAGCCCTGCGCAGTCATTCAGAGCTTGATTGTCCGGTCGAATGCAGCTGCAGTTGTGCCAACCAGCAGGGGCGGGTTGGAGTTTTCCCGAGCTTGGCATTCCTACAGCAATAGACGCTGCGACACTGGCCGCATTTCTTTTTCGTGATGCAGGAGTTCCTCTACCAAGTAGATGACGACGTTTGTGTGTCGGGGCTGATGGCAGATAAGTCGGCGTTGGGGTCGGGTCGTGCCCACCTCTGCAACGTAAAAGAAGAGATTCAGGTGGGTGCTATCGTGCCACTAACGAACATGTGTCTCACACGCGGGAGATGCGCTGCGGCTATCCATTCCCAGGTGCCTGTGTTGGGGCAGTTGCGACAAATGAGAGGCGTTTGCTACACATGGGAGGTAAGCGCGTGCTAGGCATTTCCCGTGCACACGGTATCCCCGCTACCAAAGCGCCTATTGGGCTCCTGACCTCACTCGTTGCCTCTTGTTGGAACGTCCCCGTCGCAGGTGGACACATCCCATGCGATCCAAGTCTTGGCGGACTACATCGGTGCCCAAGACAACCCCAGCGTGACGTGGCTTCAGAACACCATCAAGACCAACCCGAAGGCAAACACGCTCCTCAAAGCCGTGATCGTCAACGAGCTGATAGAGTACCCGCGAGATATCGTAGCGATTGCTGCCACGCCGTCGATTGCCCGCGCACTAGGTAGAGCCCCACCGAAGACGAAGAGCTGAAAGGCTTCACTGTCCGCTCAAGGCAGCGTTGACGCTTTGGCTTTGTGCTGGTGTGACCAGCGTCTGCCTGATTCGGTTTTCCAGGTTGGAGGGACGACTGTTGTGCTAGGATTCAAACCCAAATCGCCTTCGGGTCCGTCGAGAGTTGAATTGTACTGGTGCTAGAATAAGGAGATTAGCGGTAAAAAATCGTGTTTCTGCGGACAGCGCGCAGACGTGTCGTTTTTCATGGCTCGTGTTTTCCGTCATCCGCAAGAGTGGAGGAGTGAGGTTTTGTTACGTGTACGGGCGTATGGTGCACACTTGAGGCACACGGTAGAAAAGTAAGTCTTGCTTTATTTCTGCCCATTGGGGGTGAAACGGCTCTAAACGAATCACGCATGACCTCGGGGAAAATTTAGTGTTGGATAACTTCATTTGCCAGGCGCTTTGGAACCTCGCTTCGCAGCCATGGGACACAAACCACAAGAATCAGAGATAATGCGGGACTTATAAGTGTTGATTCTTTAGTTGGAAAGTGCAACACATGATAGCAACGGGGACGAGTCCGTTACTTGTTAATCGGTTTGAAGGTTTGAAGCAACCCAAGCCATACGGCAAGGCACCTACAGTGCAGCCTACACATACACGGGCTTTCCACATTCTAAAGGAAGACTCCTTTGCACCAACTTCTCCGATAATGATGGCCTCACTAGCAGCTGGCTTCGCCGATCGTACAACTCTATGCGCTTCGTTTCCATCTCAGCACTTGACCCGTAACGTAACGGTCACTCTACGATGGCTTCTCTTGTTCAGTTTCGTAGAACGCGCCGAATAGATCGTCGAGCCCCTGCTGCACCTGGTCGGTTGTGGCTCCTGACAAAAGCTGCCTGCACGTGCACAAACGTTCCGTTCCCGGGGCACCGGAGCATCAGCATCATCGACAAACAAACGACCGCGACGTGTTGGGAGGGATAATCAAACTGAGAGAGGGACATCCACACGTAAACAAAAGCGTAGAAATGGGATTGCTTCTGAGTAATGCGCTTCGAGTGCGGCGCACCCAATACTCGCCTGACCAAAGCAAAGATCCAGGTCCATACAACTCGAACCAAACAAGTTTCGCCCTCTCATGACAGAAGAAATACGTTTCAGCTCTACACTCACCATCTCACGAACTGGAATAAGTCTTCTCCCACTTCCGCAGTGCAAATCACCTCCACAGATGGTTGGCGCGCGGCACGCCCTTCATTGGGTAGTACCGTTTCTCGAGCTTCGACCAAGAGACGCCTCGCCTCCACTCCGCAATCCCAGTTGTGCACCACAGCACACACTGCAGGGGGGCGCGTGCGGCGAGTAGATCCGGCAAGGTTGGTAATGAACAACATCCCACAACACATTCGCACGACACAAGCCCATCCGTTTTTTACCACACTTTTAATAAGGGATAAAACACACAACCACGTACGACAAAATAAGGTACAAGCAACCGTGGCGCACGGGCGGAGAGCTTACCCTTACCGTTTGCGCCCTCAACGACGTGACCGGCAGCAGCCGTAAGCGTCTTCTCGTCGCTGCAGCTGTGCACCAAAACAGGTACACCTGCCTCGTTGCGCAGCCGCTCAGACGTCTGCCGCTCGACAGTCCAGCCCACCTTGAGCATCTACCGGCAGGGTACGAATCCCAGTCGACGGAGTCCAACGGACGTACGGTGATGTTAAAAAACTCTTGTTTGCTGTCTCAATCCAAACCCAGCGTCGTAGAAGCAGGGGGTTTGTACGACAAAGCGTACCAAATGGCACCGACAACTAGATGGCAACTTTCGGAAGGTCAAGATTAAGGGCGGAACGCGCAGAGAAATTAAGATCACCATATTTCTCGGGCACTCGGGAGTGCTTTACACCCAAAAACAGGTGATTTGTTCCTTGGGCACTTGTTCGGCAGCACCACCTTGGCAACCGCAACATGACGCTCGATCGACCGAGGTACCTTCGCAGCCAGCCACCGGAACGATTCGTCGTCATGCGTGTCGTACACCAACACCCGCTTGATTGCGGCATCGGGGGTGGTGGGCCTCCTCCTCGCGTTCTTCGCAAGCCAGGCCGAGACCGCGCCCAGCGAGCGACCCATCGCGGACCTGACCTGTCCCAACCGTGCGGCGGCGACCCTGACACCGCGTCCCATCCTCTCGAGCACGACCAGCACCCTCACCGCTGTGCTGGCTGGCCGGCCCTGCTCGTCATCGTCTGCTCGGGCGGTAGCGTCCCCATCTACTCCCATAGTATCCTCCTCCTCCTCCGCAACAGCAGCGGTATCAGCCCCCGATTCCTCGCCAGGGGCGACGGAGCCCTCCGTTGTGCCAAGCACGCCAGCAACTGCTGCCGCCGTTGTTGCTTCGTCCGCAAGGGCGTCGTCGTCCCCTTGGCATTGCCCAGCCCAACACAGCACCGACAGCAGCAGCGCCGCCCGCGCGTCTATGCTCACGGACCCCTCTGCACAGACCAGGCGCCTCTCCGCCAGGAGGACGCTCGCCAGCCTCCCGGCGCCCTGCTCTCTTCTCCTCTCCTCGAGAGCTCTTCGCAGCATGGCCAACCCCCACACCGCCTGGTCCTCTCCTAGCCTCCCCTCTCCACCCTCAACCTCGCGAGGCGGCGACATGAGAGCCTGAGGGGCGTCGGAGGACACAGCGTCCGCCTCCATAACTAGCACTCTTTCTCGGCTGTCCGACGTCGCTCCAGCCTCCGCCAACGCCGACACCACCGGCTGCCATGCCTCCTGGCAGAAGACCCGGTCCCCGCCTATTCGGTAGTAGCACGGCCGCGGGGAGACCTTGGCGACGGCAGAAAGTGCCCCCTCGGAGAGAAAACAAGGCGCTGGGTCGCTCGACCTCCAGCCCCCGCTCCGGTGTCTGAAACCCCCGCCCGAAACGACCACCGGGAGGATGGGTGTCCGGTAACCCCCACGCCCAGCCACCGGCGCTACTAACGCTGGCTCTAAACCCCTAGCCCCGCATAACCGCACCACGCCTCCCGCGCTGGATTGGCCGGGGGGAGAAGGTAGAAACATCGGGAGAAGATTAATATCGCCGGGAAGACGAGTGCAAAGGAAAGAAGACGCGAAACGAAGGAACATGGACGGAAGAGGATAGTACTTAACATGCGGGAGAGGGAGGGAGACAAAGCACGACTGTTACACATGGTGCTGCACACTCTATTGCTACATATGAAACAATACCTGATCCTTCATCAAGCACTACGTACTTCTGTGGTGGATTTCACCATGAACGTCGCATGGTAATTTGATACTGTAGCTGCGCGCACGAGATACGGCAGTTGAGGCGTGTCAGTGTGGTGGGTGCCTTCACCTTCCGTCGCCAAAGCCAGAGGGAGAAAAGCTTGGCACTTCGAGTCCATCGGCGACGGCTTGCTGATAGGCTTCCATTCCCCTGCCTCCTGCTAGTGCTACCTGGAACGACCGAAACGTGGCAGTCAAGCGCAACATCGAGAACGAAGTCGATCGCAGCTGCCACGCAGGAGGATACTCCTTAACAGCAGTACAGTACAACAACGCCCCCGAAGAGCGCACCCTGGGGCGTGTCATTTGCCGACGCTGCACCGTCCTACAATCAGCGGGGCAACTAGAATCAAGGAACACGGCATGCGACAAGGAGAAGGTGTCTTGTACGTCAACACAGCAACCAGCCGCTTGGGCGGCTGTTTCGAGCGTCACGACCGCAGAAAGGCATCGAGCGGGTATGTAGCAACAGAAAACCCGGTAAAACCAGCACAGAACAATGTGTTTCGCGGGCTTTGTTATGCGCATGGAGGACAACCGCCTCCCCAAGCGCATGCTGTTATGAGCGATGGCGGGGGGCGTGGGATACCGGGGCGGGCAGGAGAGCGACTGGGTGTCTCGTCTGGGAGAGGACCTCGTGGCCTTCAACATGGGAGACGAAAAGGAAGGGGGTAAATGGAAAGAGAGCGCCAAGGACCCGGAGGTGTGGTACAACAAGGTCGAGGACG